GGCAGATACCCCAGGCTAAGACCTTAGGGAAACTATTATATTCATCTCCCAGTGGGGAAACTGAGGCTTGAAGCTATCTGAGGGCCATTCCCTGCCTTGTTCCAGGATGATGATATCATGGACAGAAGGACCTGTCTTCCGCACAGGTGGGGCTGCCTTCCCAGACACCACCAAGGCAGAGAGTCCCCACTGACCCAGACTCACTGTGTGACTGCAGCAAGTCCCTGACTCTTTCTAAACCTCCAGTTTCTCCCCAGAAAAATGCTGAACCTGAACCCAGTTAGGGGAACTCCAGAGTTAGACGGGTTTGCATCCCAGTTCCCCTTGGTGATCTTGGCCAAATGACTTTGCTGTTCTGTGCCTCAGTTTCCCCAAGTGAACCAGAGGAGCTGCTTTTGGACCTTCTAGAGCTCTCCCTGCCCTATTCCCTGGGGTGGGGGTGGGAGCTCTTAGTCTTTCCTCACTCAAGCGAATGAATGAACCACTTTTGGCTGCCCTGCTGGGAGCCCAGAGCTGCTAATTCCCTGGAGAAACAGGAGGCTCTTTCATGCCTAGGCGCCAGTGGGGTGAGGAGGCGGGAAGAGGGTATGGAGCTGGCCTCATACCCGTGGGCAAGGAGGCCACATGCCAAAGCCAGGAGTGGTGTGGAGAGCCCTGGAGCCATGCATATCCTCATTGGAGGGCCTTGGCTAAGTTGATGTGTCCTCAGCTGTAAAATGGGAATGACAGGGAGCAGCCACAGCAGGTTTAACAAGCCAATGGGTGGTGACGAAACGTGGCTTCAAGTCAGACACACAGTGGACTCTCAGTGAAAGTCAGCTACTGTTGCTATGTGTCAACCTGAAGAACCCAGAGTCCTCCAACAGTCCCATTAATAGAATTCCCCCATTTCACAGATGAGAAAACTGAGGCTCAGAGAGGTCAAGGTGCTTTTCTAAGGTCACACAGCTAATGAGTGGTCCAGCCAGGACTTGAACCAGATCTGGGCTCACCGGGGTCCCTGCTCTTCCTAACTTCCTCCGGGGGGGTTAGGTTGGGGGCAGGGTTTCCTGTCACCTCCAGCCCCAGCCCTGAGACCAGCGAAGTTGGGTTTGGATGGCACCAGACTCTGTCTAAATGCGGAAAGCCCCGGCAGGCAGGGGCTGAAGAGGCAGGCCTTCTGCTGGTGACCCAGTTTCCCCGCCAGCCCCCCGCCCCCCGCTGCCTGGGGTGGGTTTGAGCAGATGCTAGTAGGATGCCAGGAGGACCATTCCTCCAGCCCTTGAAGAAAGGGGCTGACTGCCAGACCATTCAGCTAAAGCCAGGAAAAACAGCCTCTTGCCAGTGGCTGCTCTGTCTTGGAACTCTCGATTCGTGCAGAACGGATGGTGTCCTGCCCTTTCTCCAACACCTTCTGTGACTTCTCCGGGCCCAGCAGGATGTGGCTCCACATATTTTATTCAAATTCATGGTCTTTCACCCAACTAGGCCTTTGCTTATGCTGAGTTCCCTGCCTGGAACACCCTCCCCACTCCAGATTTTCTCACCCTTGTGAATTTGTCGCCTGACCCCCTGTTAAGGTGCAATTATAATATCCCCTCTCCCAGGAAACCTTTCCTCTAGGTAGAGCCCCTGCTCCTTCAGCCCCATCTCTCCCTTGGGGCTAGGAGTGTCTACGTCTACCTCTGTCTTGCCCAGATCGGGGGCTCCTCTGGGACAGGGTTGGAGCTGAGGCCTCTTGCTGTCCCCAGCACCATCCAGCAGAAGACTGGGCATGAGAGTGTAACAGTAGAGGTTGCAGGAGGTGTCTAGTGAATCAATGAACCAAATCTTCAGCCTGGAATCTAAGGCTTTGTGTTTGGCAAACTCCTGTTCATGCTTCAAAACCCACCTTGCAGGCTGGGTGTGGTGGCTCACGCCTGTAATCCCAGCACTTTGGGAGGCCAAGGCGGGCAGATCGCAAGGTCAGGAGTTCGAGACCAGCCTGGCCAACATAGTGAAACCCCTTCTCAACTAAAAATACAAAAATTAGCCAGGCATGGTGGTGCGCACCTGGAGTTACAGCTACCTGGGAGGCTGAGGCAGGGGAATCACTTGAACCCGGGAGGCGGAGGTTGTGGTGAGCTGAGATCACACCACTACACTCCAGCCTGGGCAACAAAGTGAGACTCCATCTCGAAACAAAACAAAACAAAACAAAAATAACAAAAACACCCGACCTCGCATGCTTCCTCCTCCAAGAAGCCTTCCTTGATGTCCCAGCAGCATTTTCTGGGAAAGACAAACTTGGAGGCCAGGGCTCCTCTGTCCAAACAAGAACACAAGGGGCCGGGCACGGTGACTCACACCTGTAATCCCAGCACTTTGTGAGGCCGAGGCAGGTGGATCACGAGGTCAGGAGATAGAGACCATCCTGGCTAACACGGTGAAACCCCGTCTCTACTAAAAATACAAAAAATTAGCCGGGCATGGTGGCGGGCGCCTGTAGTCCCAGCTACTGGGGAGGCTGAGGCAGGAGAATCGCTTGAACCCGGGAGGCGGAGCTTGCAGTGAGCCGAGAGCGAGCCACTGCACTCCAGCCTGGGCGACAGAGTGAGACTCCGTCTAAAAAAAAAAATATATATATATATATATATATATATATATATGTGTGTGTGTGTGTGTATATATATGTGTATATATGTGTGTGTATACATATATTTTTGTATATATATCTCACAAAGGGTTGATGAGGACTTCAGATACTCCCAACATCGTGGCCTTTTCCACAACTCTGCCTTTGGCCTCCGGGAGGCAGTGAAGTTCAGGGATTCCCAAGCTGCATTTAGCGTTAGGTAGCGGTTAGGGTAGAGTAGGTTAGAGAGGAAGAAAGACATTGTCATAGGAAGTCTCTCTGGCCGGGCGTGGTAGTTTACGCCTGTAATCCCAGCACTTTGGGAGGCGAGAGTGGGCGGATCGCTTGAGCCCAGGAGTTCGAGACCAATCTGGGCAATATGGCAAAACCTCATCTCTACAAAAAAAAAAAAAAAAAAAAAAAAAAAAAAAAAAATTAGCTGGCCGTGGTGGTGCGCGCCTGCTAGTTCCAACTATTCGGGAAGCCGAGGTAGGAGGACTGCTGGAGACTGGGAGGCAGAGGTCGCAGAGAGCCGCGATCGCACCACCGTACTCCAGCCTGGGCGACAGTGAGACCCTACCTCAAAAAAAAAAAAAAAAAAAAAAGAAAAAAAAAAAAGGAAGTCTCTCGGATTCCAAAATCAGTCAAAACCAGTGCTCTACACCTTCGCGCGCCGAGGGACAGCGCCCCGCGCGCGCAGCCAGCCTTTTCCCTACAGCTTCGAGGAAACCAAGGTAAATTCAATCATTGAACCCGGGCCCTTTAAGAAGCGAGCATGAAGGGGCGGGGTCAAATCAAGCCTTGCCCCAGGAGCGGCTACTGTGGGCACCGGATTTACAACACGCATGCGCCGAGCCCACGCGGTTCCGGGTCCCAACATTTGGCTCCAAGAGCTCTGTTCGCAGAGAAACAGATTCACACAAAAAGCCACCGCCCCCGAAACCCGCGGGAAATCTGTTTTCTTTGAGAGGCCCGGCCTCCGGTCATTGGCGGTTTCCCTGATCCTCTCTCCCAAATCTTCCGGCAGGGGATTGATCGAGGCGACTTTTAGGACTGGGGTGGGCGAAGGAGTGGCGGGTCTCCTCCCAAGTTACAGGTGAGGACGTGCAGGCCAAGGCGTAGCCGAGATCGCGCCGCCCTGTGGCTTGAGGAGGCGCCTGGATTCGAACCAAGGCTGTCCCCAATCCTAAGCCCTGCGAGGTCTTGTGGAACCGACATGACCCACTCTTTGGTTTGTCCAGAGACAGTGAGCAGGTAAGAGTCTGTGGGGACAGGCAGTGGCGAAGCCCTAAGCCTGGGGTCGAGCCCTCAGTGGACAGAGCTGTGGAGGTCAGGCCCTCCGCGGAGCTGAGAGCTGGTCTCAGCCCCTCTTTTTGCCCTGATCCTGGTGCCTCCAGGGTGAGTTCGGTGCTGAATCGCAACACCCGGCAGTTTGGAAAAAAACATCTTTTCGACCAGGATGAGGAGACATGTTGGAACTCAGACCAGGTGAGGCTCCTCCCTCGACCCTTCATCTCTGGGGTGATTCAGATTCAGATTTCATGGCTTGAGAACGTCAGGGGGCCCCCATAGGTGGCCAGGAAAGGAACAAGTGCCGAATTTCTCTCTTCTCCCCCTCAACAAGGACTGTGTGAATGAGTTAGGCATAGCAGGGCCCTGCCTGCAATGAGCTTGTGCCTCAGTTTTCCTGTCTGCTTCCAGGGCCCCTCCCAGTGGGTGACACTGGAGTTTCCCCAGCTCATCCGTGTCTCCCAGCTGCAGATCCAGTTTCAGGGTGGCTTCTCCAGTCGCCGGGGCTGCCTGGAAGGTACTAGGAGGCCCTGGGTGGCGGGGGTTCCAGGGGTCACCCCAGACACTCATTGCCTTTCTCTGCTGAAGGTTCACAGGGCAGTCAGGCTCTCCGCAAGATTGCAGATTTCTACCCTGAGGACAGCAACTCGCTTCAGATATCCTGCCCCTGCTTCTGGGGTGGGGTGGTCTGTGCCTTTGGACTCACCCAAACCTGAATGGGAACCCTGATGTGTGATCTTGAACACATGACCTCTAGGACTCCATCACTTTTTCTGTAAAATGGGGCTGATGACCACCTGTTCTGTGTCAGAGGCTTAGAGGGGCCTGCAGCTTCCCCAGGTTGCCCACATCAGTGGAGTCTGAGCTGGGTCTGAAAGAGGTGGGGGCCTGCGGGTGGGAAACCAGAAATCACCTGTTTCCCTTGACTGCCCACGATCACACTTTCCCCATGCCAGCTGCTGAAGTGGACCGGCTGAAGGTGACATTTGAGGATGCCACTGACTTTTTTGGCCGTGTGGTCATCTACCACCTGCGGGTGCTTGGGGAGAAGGTGTGAGACCTCTGGGGGCTGTCTCCTCCAGGAAGCCCTCCGGGAAGCACAGCAAAGTCCCTCAAATTCTGCACAGAAGGTTTATTGGTTTCTCTTGGGAAGAGTCCCCTCCCACCACCTGTCCAGGAGCTGCCTTTGAAGCCAGTTCTAGGTTTCCCCAGCTCTGGCCGACCGTTTTGTTCCCTGAGTGTCTGAGTCCCCAGCGGGCGGCCTTCACTCAGGGTCAGCGGGCACCAGGTTGCTCTGGAAGAGCTTGAGGATGTGGTTCTCGATCACCTGTTGCACTGAGATGGGGCAGGGAAAAGGTGGGCTGTGAGTTTGAATCGGGAGGGGCATGGAGGCGCAGGCCAACCTGCGCTCTCCCCTTAGGGAACAAACAAGGACCCCTACAGAGACCTGCATTACAGAGCAAAGCTGGGAGAACCTAGGCCCCATCCCAGGAACCTCAACTTCCCCTGTTAGTAAAAATGCATTTTTATAGCTTTTCAGAATTATTAATATAAAAATATTTCTTACCAAGCAAAATGTGTGAATTGTGACTTTTATGAAAAGATGGGCCTGGGCGTGGTGGCTTACACCTGTAATCCCAGCACTTTGGGAGGTCCAGAGGGGAGGACTGCTTGAGCTCAGGAATTTGAGGCCAGCTTGGGCAACATAGCAAAACCCTGTCTCTACCAAAAAAAGTTAAAAATCAGGCTCGGCTTGGTGGCTCACACCTGTAATCCCAGCACTTTGGGAGGCCAAGGTGGGCGGATCACTTGAAGTCAGGAAAGGCCAGCCTGGCCAACATGGTGAAACCCCATCTCTACTAAAACTACAAAAATTAGCCAGGTGCAGCCAGGTGCGGTGGCTCACGCGTGTAATACCAGCACTTTGGAAGGCTGAGGTGGGTGGATCACCTGAGGTTGGAAGTTCGAGACCAGCCTGACCAACATGGAGAAACCCTGTCTCTACTAAAAATACAAAAAATTAGCTGGGCATGGTGGCACATGCCTGTAATCCCAGCTACTTGGGAGGCTGAGGCAGGAAAATTGCTTGAACCTGGGAGGCAGCGGTTGTGGCGAGCCGAGATCGTACCATCGCACTCCAGCCTGGGCGACAAGAGCGAAACTCCATCTCAAGAAAAAAAAAAAATTAGTCGGGTGTGGTGGCAGGTACTTGTCATCCCAGCTACTTAGGAGGCTGAGGCAGGAGAATTGTTTGCCTGGGAGGCAAAGGTTGCAGTGAGCCGAGATCATGCCATTGTACTCCAGCTTGGGTGACAGAGCGAGACTCTGTCTCAAAAAATACATTAAAAAGATTTTACAAATTAGCTGGGTAGACTGGTACATGCCTGTAGTTCCAGCTACTTAGGAGGCTGGGGCAGAAGGACGGTTTGAGCCCAGGAGTTTGAGACCAGCCTGGGCAACATAGCAAGACCCTGTCTCTTCTAAAAAAAAAAAAACAACAACAACACAGCCAGGCATTGTGGCTCATGCCTATAATCCCCGCACTTTGGGAGGCTGAGGCAGGCGGATCACAAGGTCAGGAGTTCGAGACCAGCCTGACCAACATGGTAAAACCCCTGTCTCTACTAAAAATAAAAAAATTAGTCAGGCATGGTGGTGCACGCCTGTGATCCCAGCTACTCAGGAGGCTGAGGCAGGAGAATCGCTTGAACCTGGGAGTTGGAAGTTGCAGTGAGCCAAAATCGCGCCATTGCACTCCAGCCTGTGTGACAGAGCGAGACTCCGTCTAAAAAAAAAAAAAAAAAAGCAACAACAAAAAATTACTCAGGCGTGGTGATGAATGCCTGTGGTCCCAGCTACTCAGGAGGCTGCGGTGGGAGGATCACTTGGAGCCTGGGAGGTCGAGGCTGCAGTAAGCTCTGCCTGCCCCACTTCATTCCAGCCTGGGTGATAGAGCAAGACTTTTTGCCTCGAAAAACAAAACAAAACAAAACAAAAACAAACCCCCTGAAAACGAGAGGAGGGATGAGGAATGATTTCCATCCCAAACACAGTAAAACTCCGAAGGAAGGTGGGGGGATATTTCCTAAGCCCTCCATCCCTACCATGAACCCAGGGGGTCGGTTCAATTGGGATCTCCCCATTTTATGGATGGGGAAGTTGGGGTCCCATTGTGACAGAGGAAATGGAGTCAAATTCGGGTCTGCCCATGGTCCCTGTTCAAACCCACTGCCCGCCATGGAGAGGGGCGGCCTCCATGGCTCTGTGCGCTGTGGCCTGGCTGCCTACCCTTTGGTGTCCTCACTGCCAGGCCTCCGCAGGGGCAATTCCTCCCACCTGGATGCCATTCTCCCTCCCTTCAGGTCCCCCAGAATCCTTCCCTGACCTCCCCATCCCAGGGCTGGGCCCATCTCACTTCTTGGGGTCTCAAGCTTAAGAAACATTCCTCCAGGAAGCCCTCTGACTTCCATTGGCCACTTTGGGGCTCTTTGATGAGAAGCCCCTCTTTGGGCCTCTCCATGCCTATGTGTCCCACATCATGGCCCCAGTCACTGACACCCATTGTCCTCCCTACCCCAGCACATGCGGAGCCCCAGGAGCCAGGACTGGGATGTGCCCAGGCGGGACCCCATTCCTGCCCTGTGTGTCTCAGGCCGACCTTTCCGGTATCCCAGGGCCACGGCAAGGTCCATCGGGGTGTAGCCAGAGTCGGCTTCGGTGGTGAGGTCAGCACCGCGGGCTGCAAGGGAGAGGGGAGGGTGCTAGAGGGTGGGGCCTGGGAGCCCAGAATGGGGTCTGGGGACCTGGGAGATCCCATGGCACCCCTCATTCCCCACAATGCAGTCGTGGGTCTGCCTATTGCCCATGTGGCCTTTTGACAAGAGTCTAACCTCTGCTATCTCGGTCTCCACTGAAGAACGTGGCTGAAGGGTCTCTGAGCCATGGAGGATGGAGGTGCTCAGCCTCTGGGCCAGATCCTAGACCCAGACCCTGACTCCCGTGTGGTCCTACCACCTCCTCGCCTCTGATCCACCCTCCGAGAAGAGCAGGCAGTGACCACCTGCTCCAATAACTCTTCAAGCAATGCTTGGGCGTCTCCCTACCCTCAGGATCCCCGCAGGGCCTGCTGGAGCGCTGGGGCCCTTGGGGCCAGTCCCGACTCCCACTCACCCAGCAAGGCCTCAACGCATTTCACGTGGTTCCCACGCACAGCGTACAGCAGCGGCGTCCCTCCATTCTGTTGTGGGTAGGGGCAGGAAAAACCAAAGGTTTACCTCTTCCTCATTCTCACAATGCCTTGTACTCTCTGGCCTCCAATAGAATGTGGTTCCTCCTCCTGCTCATCACTGGGCCCATCTCACTTTTTGGGGTCTTAAGCTTAGACACCTTCCTCCAGGAAGCCCTCTCTGACTTCCCTTGGCCACACGGGGCTCTTGCAGCCACCTGTGCATCTGTCATCATAGCGCAATTCACTGCATCTCAGCTGCCTGTTTCCATGTCTGCCTTCCCCACATGGGGAGCTCTGCTCTGTGAGGCTGGGAATGGGGCTGTCTCGTGTTCTCGGCACCCAGAGCAGGCCTGCACCTTTCAGGTGCTCTGTGAATGTTTGAGGCAGGAATGAAGGCCCGGAGGCTGAGAGGTCCTGGGGGAGGGCAGTCCCTCACCCAGTCATAGATGTTGATGTCCACGTCACGCTCCAGCAACAGCCCCACAATGTCTGTATAGCCGCCAGTGCTGGCCAACGACAGGGCGCTCTCTCGCTCTTTGGCCAGGATGTGGGGGTCGGCACCCTGCAAGGAGAAGAAGGGGCAGTGATGGGATGGGTTGGGGCATACCCAGGAATCCTGGGGTACCCACAGCAGCTGCATCTTTTTTTTTGTTTTTGTTTTTGTTTTTGGAGACGGAGTCTCGCTCTGTTGCCCAGGCTGGAGTGCAGTGGCACGATCTCGGCTCACTGCAACCTCCACCTCCCGGGTTCATGCAATTCTCCCACCTCAGCCTCCAGAGTACCTGGGATTACAGGTGCCCACCACGACGCCTGGCTAATTTTTGTATTTTTTTAGTAGAGACAGGGTTTCACCCATGTTGGCCGGGCTGGTCTTGAACTCCTGACCTCAAGTGATCTGCCCGCCTCAGCCTCCCAAAGTGCTGGGATTACAGGCACGAGCCACCACACCCAGCCAGCAGCCGCATCTCAAAGACAAGGCACCAGCAAACACAGCCAAGAACCCAGCCCACCCTAAGACCCCCGGGAACCCCCCAGCTGCCCAGCTTGGCTGGGACGCACCCACTCCAGCAGGAAGCGAACGGTCTCAATCTCTCCAAAGGCCGAGGCCCAGATGAGGGGAGTGAAGCCGCGCTCGTCTGGCTTGTTGACGAGGTTGTCACCTGGCAGGAGGGGGCAGGCGATACCACCAGGCTGCACCCCTGCCCCCTATCCCCAGTGCTGCCAAAGGGGGACGAGGTGGGGGGCTGGGGTTAGACAGGAATGAAGGGGAGTGTACGTCGATGGACATACATGGACAAGGTCACACAGACAGGTAGATACAAGCACACACGTGGACACTCACAGGTCACATCAGCGTCATGAGTGGGCATGGACACCCATATGCACACCACCCAGGCGCAGACATGCCTGCACACGTGTGTGGACACGCACCTTTCCGCAAATGCTCCTTCAGCTGGTCGAGCTCCCCCTGCGCTGCGAGCTGGTGGATGGACAGGGCTGGGGCAGGACAGAGGCAGAGTCCTCACTCGTCCCCTTGCTTCTCTGTGCTTCAGTTTACCCTCTGTCCATAACTGCTCCTCACAGGCCCTCCCACCCTCCTACTCCTCTCCTTGTTGGGGACCGTGGGCTCACTCACAGTCTAGGGTGGCCGGCAGAGCTGACACCTCGTTCCCCCGCTGCCGGTTGGTGAGAGTGGTGGAGTGCTTCAGGGAGTTACCTGCTGGGAGAGAGACAATAGGCCTCAGTTTCCCCTCGGTAGATGTTCTGAGGCTTCAGGACAGAAGCCCATTTGGTTTTTTGCTGCTGCTGTTGTTGTTGTTGTTTGAGATGGAGTCTTGATCTGTCCCCCAGGCTGGAGTGCAATGGCGTGATCTCAGCTCACTGCAACCTCCACCTCCTGGGTTCAAGCGATTCTTGTGTCTCAGCCTCCCAAGTAGCTGGGATTATAGGCGCCCACCACCACGCCTGGCTAATTTTTGTATTTTTAGTAGAGATGGGGTTTCGCTATGTTGGCCAGGCTGGTTTCAAACTCCTGACCTCAAATCATCCACCTGCCTCAGCCTCCCAAAGTGCTGGGATCATAAGCTTGAGCCACCAAGCCTGGCTGTTGGGCTTTTTTTTTGAGACAGAGTCTTGCTCTGTTGTCCAGGCTGGAGTGCAGTGGTGTGATCACAGCTCACTTCAGCCTCAACCTCCTGGGCTCAAGCCACCCTCCCACCTCAGCCTCCTGAGCAGCTGAAACTACAGGTACGACCATACCCAGCAAATTAAAAAAAAATTATTTTGGTAGAGATGGAGTCTTGCTATATTGCCCAGGCTGGTCTCAAACTCCTAGGCTCAAGCGATCCTCCTGCCTCGGCCTCCCAAAGTGCTGGGATTACAGGCACGAACCACCATGCCACTGCCTTTGGTATCTCCCTGGGGTCTTGGAGCTACCCAAGGCAGTGCCTGGGACTCCACCATTCACTCACTCTACTCTCTTGAATACCTAGGATGCATCTTTCTCCTCCCTTCCTGGCAATGTTCTGGGCAAACAAGACACAGTTTTTGCCTTCTAGGGAGTCTGGGGTCAAGTAGGTGCATCAGAAATAGAGACATAATAAAAAACTTCAAGTTGAAATAAGTGTTCAAAAGAACTTAAGGCTGGGCACGGTCGCTCACGCCTGTAATCCCAGCACTTTGGGAGGCTGAGGTAGGTGGATCACCTGAGGTCAGGAGTTTGAGACCAGCCTGACCAACATGGTGAAATTCCATGTCTACTAAAAACACAAAATTAGCCAGGCGTGGTGGCAGATGCCTGTAATCCCAGTTACTCGGGAGGCAGGAGAATCACTTGAACCCAGGAGGCAGAAGTTGCAGTGAGAGAGATCACGCCACTGCACTCCAGCGTGGGCAACAAGAGCGAAACTCCGTCTCAAATTAAAAAAAAAAAAAATTAAAAGCAGGTAGAAGAGGACAGAAAGAAGGGAGCACAAGGAATAAGTCCTTCTTAGGCAATGTGGTAACTGGAGGGCCTCCCCAAGGTGACACCACCGAGATCTTAGGAAGTCAAAGAAATCAGCTACAGGTACTGGGCACGGTGGCTCACGCCTGTAATCCCGGCACTTTGGGAGGCCGAGGCAGGCGATCACCTGAGGTCAGGAGTTCGAGACCAGCCTGGGTAACATGGCAAAACTCTGTCTCCGCTAAAAATACAAAAATTAGCTGGGTGTGGTGGCGTATGCCAGCTACTTGGGAGGCTGACGCAGGAGAATCGCCTTAACCCAGGAGAGGGAGTTGCAGTGAGTTAAGATAGTGCCATTGCACTCCACCCTGGGTAACAGAGCAAGACTCCGTCTCAAGAGAGGGGACTCCGGGAGGCATCTCAAGAGTGGGTAGAGGGAAAAGGAGGGGAGGGGAGGGGAAGGGAAGGGAGGGGAGCCTGGGCAACAAGAGCAAACCTCCGTTTAAAAAACACAAAAAGGCCGGGCGCGGTGGCTCAAGCCTGTAATCCCAGCACTTTGGGAGGCCGAGACAGGAGGATCACAAGGTCAGGAGATCGAGACCATCCTGGCGAACACGGTGAAACCCCGTCTCTACTAAAAATACAAAAAATTAGCCAGGCATGGTGGCGGGTGCCTGTAGTCCCAGCTACTCGGGAGGCTGAGGCAGGAGAATGACATGAACCCGGGAGGCGGAGCTTGCAGTGAGCTGAGATCCGGCCACTGCACTCCAGCCTGGGTGACAGAGCGAGAGTCCGTCTCAAAAAAAAAAAAAACACACAAAAAAACCAAAAATGAACTGTAGTCCCAGCTACTCAGGAGGCTGAGGCAGGAGAATGGCATGAACCCAGGAGGCAGAGCTTTCAGTGAGCTGAGATTGCGCCACTGCACTCCAGCCTGGGCGACAGAGCGACACTCCATCTCAAAAAAAAAAAAAAAAAAAAAAAAACCCGGAGGCGGGAAGGGAGGGGAGGGGAGGGGAGGGGAGTTAGCTATAGGAAGAAGTGTAGGAAGAGCATTCCAGACAGGAGTGGCAGCAACAAAGGTTGTGGGAGGGAACTAAATTAGGCATACTCTTGGACTCTAATCAAAAATAAATCCTCAGTTCCTCAGTAAGTAAAACAGGATGACCATCTGATCCAGCAGTTTCACTCCTAGCTATCTACCCTCAAAGAGTTAAAAACAGGTGTGGGCCGGGCCCGGTGGCTCAAGCCTGTAATCCCAGCACTTTGGGAGGCCGAGACAGGTGGATCACGAGGTCAGGAGATGGAGACCATCCTGGCTAACCCGGTGAAACCCAGTCTCTACTGAAAAACACAAAAAACTAGCCGGGCGAGGTGGCGGGCGCCTATAGTCCCAGCTACTCAGGAGGCTGAGGCAGGAGAATGGCATGAACCCAGGAGGCGGAGATTGCAGTGAGCTGAGATCCGGCCACTGCACTCCAGCCTGGGCGACAGAGCGAGACTCCGCCTCAAAAAAAAAAAAAAAAAAAAGGGTGGAAGGGCCAGGCACTGTGGCTCACGCCTGTAATCCCAGCACTTCGGGAAGTGGAGGCTGGCAGATCACTTGAGCCCAGGAGTTGGAGACCAGCCTGGACAACATGGCAAAACCCCATCTCTACAAAAAATACAAAAATTAGCTGGGCATGGTGGTACACGCCTGTAAACCAGCTACTTGACAGGTAGCTGGATTCTCGTGAGGCACGAGAATCGCTTGAACCTGGGAGGCGGAGGTTGCAGTGAGTCGAGATCGCACCACTGCACTCCAGCCTGGGCGACAGAGTGAGACTCGGTCTCAAAGGAAAAAAAAAAAGGAAGGAAGCACTGATCCATGCTATGATGTGGATGAACTCTGAAAACGTGATGCTGAGTGAGAGGGGCCACACACAAAAGGCCACATAGTGTTATGATCCCACTGGTACGAAACGCCCAGAACAGGATAATCTAAATAGATAGAAAAGCAGATTGGTTGCCAGGGATGGGTGGAAGGAGATTGGAGAGGGACTGTTATGGTATGGGGTTTCCTTTTGGGGTGATGAAACTATTCTAGATAGGCCAGGCGTGGTGGCTCACGCCTGTAATCCAAGCAGTTTGAGAGGCTGTGGCGGGCGGATCATGAGGTCAGGAGTTCAAGACCAGCATGGCCGATATGGTGAAACCCCATCTCTACTAAAAAAACAAAAAATTAGCTGGGCATGGTGGTGCATTCCTGTAATTGCAGCTACTTGGAAGGCTGAGGCAGGAGAACTGCTTGAACTGGGACCCGGGAGGTGGAGGCTGCAGTGAGCCAAGATTGAGCCACTGCACTCCAGCCTGGGCTACAGAGCGAGATTCTGTCTCAAAAAACAAAGAGGCTAGGCGCGGTGGCTCATACCTGTAATCCCAGCACTTTGGGAGGCTGAGGGGGGTGGATCACCTAAGGTCGGGAGTACAAGACCAGCCTGACCAACATGGAGAAACCCTGTCTCTACTAAAAATACAAAATTAGCCAGGCATGGTGGTGCATACCTGTAATCCTAGCTACTTAGGAGGCTGAGGCAGGAGAATCGCTTGAACCCAGGAGGTGGCGGTTGTGGTGAGCCGAGATCGTGCCATTGCACTCCAGCCTGGGTAACAACAGCGAAACTCCGTCTCAAAAAAAAAAAAAAAAAAAAAAGAAAAGAAAATATTCTAGATAGAGGTGGTGGTTACGCAACACTGTGAATGTACTTACTGATATTGAATGGTACTGCAATCCTGGCTTAAATGGCAAACTTTTATGTTATGTATAGTTTATCACAACAAAAAAATATATACAAAGTTGTAAAAAAAAAAAAAAAAAAAAAGAAACAAACCCTTCCTGAATGGAGAAGGAAGACACGTCCTATTAGTGGGTCATAAAGACAGAGGTCCCGGCCAGGCATGGTGGCTCACACCTGTAAATCCCAGCACTTTGGGAGGCTGAGGCAGGAGGATCGCTTCAGGCCAGGAGTTCAAGACCAGCCTGGGCAACATGGTGAGACCCTGCCTCTCAATTAAACAAAAAAAGAAAAAAATTAGCCAGGTGCGGTTGCATGCCTATACTCCCAGCTACTAGGGAGCTGAGTGACGTAGGAGGATAGCTTGAGCCCAGGAAGTTGAGGCTGCAGTGAACTATGATCTCGTCACTGCACTCCAGCCTTGGTAACAGAGCGAGAACCTGTATCAAAAAGCAAAAACAGGCCGGGTGCGGTGGCTCAAGCCTGTAATCCCAGCACTTTGGGAGGCTGAGATGGGCGGATCACGAGGTCAGGAGATCGAGACCATCCTGGCGAACATGGTGAAATCCCGTCTCTACTAAAAAATACAAAAAAACTAGCCAGGCGAGGTGGCGGGCGCCTGTAGTCCCAGCTACTCCGGAGGCTGAGGCAGGAGAATGGCATAAACCCGGGAGGCGGAGCTTGCAGTGAGCTGAGATCGGCCACTGCACTCCAGCCTGGGCGACAGAGCGAGACTCCGTCTCAAAAAAAAAAAAAAAAAAAAAAAAAAGCAAAAACAGGCTGGGCACAGTGACTCACGCCTGTAATCCCAGCACTTTGGGAGGCCGAGGTGGGTGGATCACCTGAGGTCAGGAGTTCAAGATCAGCCTGGACAACATGGTGAAACCCCGTCTCTACTAAAAATACCAAAAACATTAGCCGGGCATAGTGGTAGGAGCCTGTAATCCCAGCTACTCAGCAGGCTGAGACAGGAGAATCAGTTGAACCCAGGAGGCGGAGGTTGCAGTGAGCTGAGATCGTGCCATTGCACTCCAGCATGGGCAACAAGAGTAAAACTCCGTCTCGAAAAACAACAAAACAACAACAAAAAAACGAAAGCAAGACAAAGGTTCCATCTGGGGCCTGACAATCCATCGTGATGGAATCCCAGAGGGCCAATCCCAGAGGAGGTATCCTACCCTGTGGCGAGGAAACACTGGCATCCGGTTCGGGATTCACAGGCTCGGGGGTGCAGGGGAAGAGACTGAGGACCACAGTGTCTGAGCCATCTGCGGCCTCCTCTCCCGGGTCTTCAGGGTCCCCAAGTTCTGAGGCAGGGGGCAGCTGGGTCAGGATGAGGTCCTCTGCAGGCTGGGTAGGCTCCATGAGGAACGCTGGCGGAGGTGTCAGACGGGGAGAGATGACAATAATTATCAACAGCTATAATAAAGTAGGCACCGACTGCATACCTAGCCTTGCATTGTGAGGGTGGGTAAACTGAGATCCAGGTTAATCACCAGAGCCAGGGAAATGAAAACCAGAGTCCAACTGCTTTTGAGGTCTACCCTCCCCCACCACCAAAGCACCTGCAATGTGCAATGTTTAAAAGCCTGGGCTCTGGCTGGGCTCGGTGGCTCACGGCTGTAATCTCAGCACTTTGGGAGGCTGAGGTGGGTGGATCACAAGGTCAGGAGCTCGAGACCAGCCTGGCCACCATGGTGAAACGCCATCTGTACTAAAAATACAAAAATTAGCCAGGTGCGGTGGCGGGTGCCTGTGATTCCAGCTACTCGGGAGGCTGAGGCAGAGAATTGCTTGAACCCGGGAGGTGGAGATTGCAGTGAGCAGAGATCACACCACTGCACTCTAGCTTGGGGGACAGAGCAAGACTCCGTCTCAAAAAAAAAAAAAAAAAAAAAAGCCAGGGCTCTGGGGTCAGCTGTCTGGGTTCGAATCCCTCAATTTATAGGCCGTGAGAACTTGGGCATGTGACTTAATCTTTGAGCCTCAATTTCCTCCACGACAAAATGTGGAAATGAGCCGTACAACGAATTACGTCTGTACATAGCTTATCCAGGGGTCTGCTAAGGGCGGAGCTCAATAAATATTCGCTATGGTTGTTGGGGGGGGGGTCCCCAGAATGAGTGAGGGCTCAACAAAGGTGTGATTGGTCCCATTCCCACCCGAGCTTCCCAAATCGATCCAGGAGGTCCACTCACCTCCCCACGAGCCTCCTCTGTCCCCCCGCGCCTAAAGCCCAGTTCTCTCAAAACTTGGGGGCCCAAGTCACAAACTTTTCTCTTCCAATGGATATAGCGGGAGGCAAGCTGGAGACTGGACCCTCAGCGCTCCGGCTTCCTCGGCCAGGGCAGAAAGCAACTTGATACTCGACCGCTACCCCCACCCCAGAGCTCCCCCACTGCGCGTGCGCACCCCGCCCCCCAAAAGTGAGGAAGGGCCCAAGCAGTAAGTACTGCCTCTAGCCCTTTAAGACTTAGGGGAGGGCGTGGGTTCCGCTGGGTCCCTGGGAGGGCAGTTGCGCCTGCGCCTTCTTTTCCCCTCCTCACCGACTCCGAGGGAATGGGCGGGGCCTAATGGGCTCTGAGAATTTCTCAGCGCCTGTGCCCGCTTACCTTTACCCCGCCCACAGATTTTTCCAGAGGGAGCCAATCGGCTCCGGCTTCGGGTAGATGGGCGGGGCTATCTCAAGAAGAAGCTGTAGGGGAAGTACGCGGGGCGTCTGGAACTTAAAGGGGCAACGTACCTTTGCTGTCCCGTTCCACAAGGTCCCTTCTGCGGTCTCAAAGGCTTATAAGCAAGGGCGGGGGCAGAGGGCTAAAGAAGGGAGTTTATGCGGTCCGAGTGGGTAATGCGTGGAGGGCTCCCCCAGCTTGTCTCTCAGGGAAAAGAGGGTTCAGAAAGGGAGAGAGTTCTTCCCCCTCTCCTGCCTGGGTGTCCCTCTACCAGCCTCAGGGGCGTCGCGCCCCCTCCTCACCGCCCCACCCCCGGGTGTGCCTCCTTCCCTCCGTCTCACAGCCCCTTTCCTGTCCGCGAAGACTGAGGAGCGGGGAGGGCGGGCCCTCTGACGCCGGAACTGGAACCGTGCGGCGTCCAGTTTCAGCAGGGAAGACTTAGGTGTCCGTCCCAGCCTCCAGGCTTCCGGTCCCGTTTCCCGGTTCGCTCGGCCGCGGTCGCTATGGAGGAACCAGAGATGCAACTCAAGGGGAAGAAAGGTGGTGCGGGCCTCCGGGCGGGACAGAGGGGGCCGGGAACTCGTGGAGGGGCGGCCTTACAAAGGCCGGGCGCAGAGGGACCGTGTGAGGAGCAGTGATTGAACTGCCGTCCAACCCGAGCTCGGCCGCTGACTAGTTTTGAAACCTGTAGAAAGGCCCCGTATCTGCTTTAATTACCCGTCCCCCCAGGACTGTTTCAATAATTCAGTAGCTGAGGCTGGGAGTGGTGGCTCACGCCTTTGTAATCCCAGCACTATAGGAGGCCTAGGCGGGAGCATCGCTTGAGCCCGAGACCAGCCTGGGTGACATAGCGAGACCTCGTTTCTAAAAAAATACAAAAATTAACTGGGCGTGGTGGCACACGCCTGTGGTCCCAGCTACTTGGGCGGCTGAGGTGGGAGGATTGCTTGAGCTCGGGAGGTCGAGACTGCACTGCAGTGAGCTGTGATCGTGCCACTGCACCCCGCCCTGGGTGACAAGTGAGACCCTGTCTAAAAAAAACAAACAAAAAACAAAATTCAACTATCTGATATTTGTAATGCATTGACAGAATCCCCGGGGTAAAGTAATCGCTGTGCGTGTTGTTTCCTTTTTTTTTTTTTTTTTTTTTTGAAACAAGGTATCACTCAGTCTCCTAGGCTGGGGTGCAGTGGCGCGATCATGGCTCACTGTAGCCTCAATCTCTCTGGCTCAGGCAATCCTCCTGCCTCAGCTTCTCCAGTAGTTGGGACTACAAGCGCATACCGCGTCAGGCTAATTCTTTAATTTTTTTTTTTTTTTTTTGACAGAGTCTCGCTCTGTCACCCAGGCTGGAGTGCCGCGGCGGGGTGGGATCTCGGCTTACTGCAACCTCAGCCCCCTGAGTAGCTAGGATTTCAGGCACACACCACCATGCCCGGCTAATTTTTTTGTATTTTTAGTAGAGTCGGGGTTTCACCATGTTGCTCAGGCTGGCCTTGAACTCCTGACCTCGAGTGATCCGCGCACCTTGGCCTCCCAAAGTGCTGGGATTACAGGTGTGAACCACTGCGCCCAGCTAATCCCCTATACTTTGAATCACCTCTAGATTACTCACATCTAGAGTACATAATACAGGCCTACACATCACTTCATTCACATGGATTCAAAGAAGTGCTTAGTGTAGGGCAAATTCAAGTTTTGCTTTTTGAAACTTTGTAGATTTTTTTTTTTTCCTGAGTATTTTCCATCCACAGTTGTTTGAATCCACAGATTCAGGAACCATGGATAACGGAAGGCAAGAGTAGGAGGCATAAGCCACCATGCCCTGTCTGTTATGCTCACTTTCCTTTTTTTTTTTTTTTTTTATTTGAGATGGAGTTTCACCCTTGTTGCCAAGGCTGGAGTGCAATGGCATGATCATGGCTAACTGCAACCTCCACCTCCCGGGTTCAAGCGATTCTCCTGCCTCAGCCTCCCGAATACCTGGGATTACAGGCATGCACCACCATGCCCAGCTAATCTTGTATTTTCAGTAGAGACGGGGTTTCTCCATGTTGGTCAGGCTGGTCTCAAACTCCCAATCTCAGGTGATCCTCCTGCTTCAGCCTCCCAAACATCTGGGATTACAGGCATGGACCATCACCCCTGGCTGTTATGCTCACATTCAAAGTGAGGAGGCTTATCTGGTAAGAGGTCACACAGTTTGGAGGTGGCAGGTTGGGCTCTGCCACTCAAGGCACAGTGGTGAGATGGAGAGACTCGTGTTAGCCTCCTTTGACTCCCAGACATGCCTGGGTTCTCTCTCCTGAGCAATCACCCTGGTGATGGCACTGGATTCATCTCCGTAGCAAACCTTGAGGCAGGTGCTGTTATTCTTTTTTTGCGGATGAGGAAGCTGAGGCTCAGAGAAGCCCTGCTCTCCCAAATTCAAGCTTTTAGCTTTTCTTGTGATCATGTAACCTAATCAGTTGAAATTGGTATTAAAAGAAAGGAACAAAATGCCAAGCTCCTGAATTAGGTGGAGGGGACATCTGTTAAGCTTGGTAGTCAGGGAGGGTCTTGCGCAGGAGGCGACATTTGAGCAGACCTGAGGGATGAAGGAGAGCCAGTGACGGAATGGTGTCTCTGGGTGGGAATAGCAGGTGCAAAGGCTCTGAGGTGACAGAGTGTTCAGAGCTCTGCTGTAATGAATAAAGGAGCGATTGGTCACATACAGGCATTTATTTTATTTTATTTTATTTTTTTGAGATAGAGTCTTGTTCTGTTGCCCAGACTGGAGTGCAGTGGTATGATCATGGCTCACTGTAGCCTCCACCTGTCAGACCCAAGCAATCCTCCCACCTCAGCCTCCTGAGTAGTTGGGACTACAGGTATAGATCACCATGACCAGCTTATTTTTGTACGTTTTTGTAGAGGTGGGATTTCACCATGTCTCCCAGGCTGGTCTTGAATTCCTAGGCTGAACCCATCCTCCTGCCAAAGTGCTGGGATTACAGATGTGAGCCACCACACCCGGCGTTGGTCTCAAATTCTTGTCCTCAAGTGATCCTCCTACCTCGTCCTCTTGGGCAGTGAGAAAGTTATTTTGGGCAGTGCTGGGAGGTCCAACGAAGAGCCAGGGATGGAGGGCAAGAAAGGCAGGGAGGTCAGCAGCAGCTGGAACATGCAGGGCCCCATGGGCCATAGCAAGAAAGGTGGATTTTATTCTCTGGCAGGTGGGAGCCATGGGAGAGTTTAAAGCAAGGGTGGGAATAGATGATTTGTTCATTTGGAGTTCACCTCATCTGCTGCATGGAGATTGGACTACTGGCAGGAGGGGAAGCAGGGAGACCAGGGAGAGGGTGGGTCTGGCATCCAGGCAAGAGATGGCCATTCCTGGCTGTGCCTGGACCCATGCGGGCAGTGTGGTATAATAGTGAGAACAGGTGAAGCTAGAACCATTAGGATCTGCCCAAGGATAGGACAGGAAAGGCGGGCCCTGCTGGCTGGCTGGGAATGCCATTGTTGAAGCAGACCCTGTAATGATTTGTGTGCACTTAATTTATCAGGGCCGGGCGCAGTGACTCACTCCTATAATCCCAGCACTTCGGGAGGCCGAGGTGGGCAGATCACTTGAGGTCAGGAGTTCGAGACCAGCCTGGCCAACATGGTGTAACCCCGTCTCAACTAAAAATACAAAAATTAGCCAGGCGTGGTGGCGGGTGCCTGTAATCCCAGCTACTCAGGAGGCTGAGGCAGGAGAATCACCTGAACCCAGGAGGTGGAGGTTGCAGTGAGCCAAGATTGTGCCACTGCACTCCAGCCTGGACAACAGAGCAAGACTCTGTCTCAAAAAAAAAAAAAAAAAAAATTTCATCAGGAGACATCTGCAGGGGAGAAGGGGAAACAGGGCACGGCTGGCTGGTGAGGAGGCTGAGTGAGGGGCACCTCAGGTAAAATCCGCAGAGGCAGGCCTCAGCCTGGGCCTGCACAGGAGCCCAGGGGGATAAGTTAGGCTCCAGGTTGTTGTTCCAGTGCCCAGCGAGGGACACAGGTTTTCATATCCCTCACTGGTGAGTGGCAGCTGAGGGCCTCCTGGGATGTGAACTTCCAGGCACTTTCGGGTCCTGTGGGCATGCTTTGAAGAAGAGTCCCCGGTGTGGTCACGGGGGCAAAAAGAATGCCGGGAAGTGCAGTAGGCAGCAATGTCCACTACCAGTGGGTTTGAGAGGGAAACATGAGAAGAGTTCACCGGGGTCCGGGCACAGTGGCTCATGCCTATAATCCCAGCACTTTGGGAGGCCGAGGCAGGAGGATCACTTGAGACCAAGAATTCAGGACCAGCCTGGGCAACATAACAAGACCTTGTCTCTATTTTAAAAAATGAGCCAGGCACGGTAGCTCATGCCTGTAATCCCAGCACTTTGGGAGGCGGAGGTGGGCGGATCACAAGGTCAGGAGATTGAGACCATCCTGGCTAACACAGTGAAACCCCGTCTCTACTAAGAAATATAAAACATTAGCCAGGTGTGGTGGCGGGCACCTGTAGTCCCAGCTACTCGGGAGGCTGAGGCAGGAGAATGGCGTGAACCCAGGAGGCAGAGCTTGCAGTGAGCCAAGATTGTGCCACTGCACTCCAACCTGGGCAATAGAGTGAGACTCCGTCTCAAAAAATAATAATATTGGGAGGCCAAGGTGGGCGGATCACGAGGTCAGGAGATCGAGAGCATCCTGGCTAACACGGTGAAACCCCGTCTCTACTAAAAAATACAAAAAAACTAGCAGGGCAAGGTGGCAGGCGCCTGTAGTCCCAGCTACTCGGGAGGCTGAGGCAGGAGAATGGCGTAAACCCGGGAGGCAGAGCCTGCAGTGAGCCGAGATCCAGCCACTGCACTCCAGCCTGGGCGACAGAGCGAGACTCCGTCTCAAAAAAAATATATAATAATAATAATAATAAATAAATGAAAAAACTAGCCAGGCATGGTGGTTCACACCTGTAGTTCTAGCTCCACTGGAGGCTGAGGTATGATGATGGCTTGAGGCTGGGAGTTTCAAGACTGCAGTGAGCTGTGATCGCACCACTGCACTGCAGCCTGGGCAATAGAGCGAGACCCTGTCTCTAAAAAAAAAAAGTTCAATCAAGCTGGCAAGGCACGGTGGCTCACGCCTGTAATCCCAGCACTTTGGGAGGCCGTGGTAAGCAGATCATGAGGTCAGGAGATCAAGACCATCCTGACCAACATGGTGAAACCCTGTCTCCACTAAAAATATAAAAATTAGCTGTGCGTGGTGGTGCATGCTTGTAATCCCAGCTACTCAGGAGGCTGAGGCAGGAGAATCACTTGAACCAGGGAGTCGGAGATTGTGGTAAGCCGAGATTGCACCACTGTACTCCAGCCTGATGACAGAGCAAGACTCTCCAAAGAAAAAAAGTTTACTCCTTATGAACTCATCACTCATTATGTCCTCTCATTTATGTCCTCTTTTTAAAATTTTTTATTTTTTTATGTTTTTTTGAGATGGAGTTTTGCTCTTGTTGCCCAGGCTGGAGTGCAATGGCATGACCTCAGCTCACTGCAACCTCCACCTCCCTGCAACCTCCACCTCCCAGATTCAAGTGATTCTCCTGCCTCAGCCTCCAGAGTAGCTGGGACTACAGGTGCCTGTCACCATGCCTGGCTAATTTTTGTATTTTTAGTAGAGATGAGTTTTACCATGTTGGCCTGTCTGGTCTTGAACTCCTGACCTCAGGTGATCTGCCCACCTCAGCCTCCAAAGTGCTAGGATTATAGGCGTGAGCCACCGCACCCAGCCTCGTTAATGTCCTCTTGAGTGAGCCCTGCCGTGACCACTTCCTCCAGCCTGTCATGGGCTAGGGGTGACCTAGCTGCTGAGGGATACACCAGATGCCCCCTTTGCTCTGGCTGGACTCAACACTTGAGCAATGAGGAGGCTGATGCTTTGTCTCCCCACACCCGCCCCACCCCTACCACCTGTGGACCCTGTATCCAGTCACGGACAAGTTCACTGAGAGCGTCTACGTCCTGGCCAACGAGCCGTCCGTGGCCCTGTACCGGCTGCAGGAGCACGTGCGTCGCTCCCTCCCCGAGCTGGCCCAGCACAAGGTGAGCTGGGGCCTGCTGGGAGGAGCAGGGGCTGTCAGGGCAGGAGTCAAGGCTGGGACACCAGTAAGGAGGCATGTGGTGGCAGAGCCAGGTCGGAGGCGTGGTGGACAGATCTGGGGTAGATTTTGAAGGAGGTGGTAAGATGTGTGTATTATTAGTTCATTCTCTTGCTGCTATAAGGACATACCCAAGACTGGGTAATTTATAAAGAGATTTAATTGACTCACTGTTCAACAGGGCTGGGGAGGCCTCAGGAAACTTACAATCATGGCAAAAGGGGAAGCAAACACATACTACCTCACATGGCAGCAGGAGGAGAAGTATGAGTGCCCCATGAAGGGGGAGGCCCCTTTTTAAAACCACAAGATCTCGTGAGAACTCACTTATCAGGAGAACAGGATGAGGGGAACTGCCTATATGACTCAGTTATCTCCACCCGGTCCCTCTCACAACACACGGGGATCATGGGAACTACAATTCAAGGTGAGATTTGGGTGCGGACACAGCCAAACTATACTATTCTGTAACAGTTATGACCCGCGTGGCAAGGAGGCAGCCGTCTGATGATCTAAGGGAAGGGTGTGCCAGGCAGGGAGAACAGCCTGTGCGAAGGCCCTGAGGCATAGTGGCCAGGTGTTCACAGAAAGCCCAGACCTGTGAGGGAAGGAAATTGCAGGAGGAAAGTTCTCTGCATCCACCCTGCGGGCTCAGGGGAGCCCCAACCAAGAGAGCTGGGAGGAAGGCCCTCTAGGTGGGGGTGGCCTCCCTTGCCAAACATCTCCTGCGCCCCCTACAGGCAGACATGCAGCGTTGGGAGGAGCAGAGCCAGGGAGCCATCTACACTGTGGAATACGCCTGCAGGTGAGCGCCACAGCCTCTCCGCTGCAGGGCCACCTTCTGCTGCTCTGGCCTCCTGGGCGTTCAGAGGCATCCCAGCCATCTGCCCAGTAAGCCCCACCCTACCACGATTAACCTGGCCAGGGCCCCAGGTGGATCTCTTCCCTGTGCTGAGCCCCTCCCCAGCTGCCACAGAAGATGGGGATAAGGATTCTGGAAGATGCTTCCAAGGACCAGCATTTTTGTCCCACAGCCAGGACCACAGATGGGCCAGTGGGGTAGATGGCAGCCAGGGGGAAGCCCAAAGCACAGATAAGGCTGTTTATTTTTAAATTTTTTTTGAGACAAGAGTCTCACTCTGTCACCTAGGCTGGAGTGCAGTGGTGCGATCTCAGCTCACTGCAACGTCCGCCTCTCAGGTCCAAGCAGTTCTCCCGCTTCAGCCTCCCGAGTAGCTGGGACTACAGGCGCCTGCCAACTCGCCCGGCTAGTTTTTGTATTTTTAGCAGAGATGGGGTTTCGCCATGTTGGCCAGGCTGGTCTCGAACTCCTGACCTCAGGTGATCCACCTGCCTCAGCCTCCCAAAGTGCTCAGATTACAGATGCAAGCCACCACACCCGGCTGGTGTTTCTTTTTGTTACTGAACCCTTGCCTCCTGCGCTTTGGTTCTGTTCCTCATGACTGTATTCCCAAGCCTTATTCCGGTTGCTTGGGTTGCCCAGTTGGCCTTGGAAGTTCCTCGACTTTGCACAGATATGCTGTTCGCCCCTGACATGGGCTGTAGTCCATTTTGGTGGTGGCTGAACGATGCTCCTGGCAGTTCCCCTGGTGTGTTGCTGTTCAGTTGTGTGGGCGAAGGTGCCTAGACAAGAAACCCTGCTGTTGGAGCAGCATTCTGCCATTGGCAGCCTTGGCCCCCTTGGTGGGACAAGGTGTGACCAGACAGACAGTATCTTCCTTAGCTCAAGGAAAAGAAAAGAAATAGGAGTTTCTAGAGCTGGGCATGGTGGTGCACGCCTGTAGTTCCAGCTACTCAGGGGGCTGAGGTGGGAGGATGCCTTGAAAGGAGTTCAGGGTCAGCCTGGGTGATACAGCCAGACCTCTTCTTTAAAGAAAAAAGAAATACGGCCGGGCGCAGGGGCTCACGCCTGTACTCCCAGCACTTTGGGAGGCTGAGGTGGGAGGATCACTTGAGCCCAGTAGTTTGAGACTAGTCTGGGCAACCTGGTGAAACCCCATTTCTACAAAAAATACAAAAACTAGCCGAGTCTGGTGGCACACACCTCTAGTCCCAGCTAGTCGAGATGCTGAGGTGGGAGGATCACTTAAGCCTGGGAGGTTGAGGCTGCAGTGAGTGGAGATTGCACCGCTGCACTCCAGCCTGGGCAACAGAACACGACCCCGTCTCAAAAAAACAAAAAAGAGGCCGGGCGCGGTGGCTCACGCCTGTAACCCCAGCACTTTGGGAGGCTGAGGCGGGCAGATCACGAGGTCAGGAGATCGAGACCATCCTGGCTAACACAGTGAAACCCTGTCTCTACTAAAAATACAAAAAAATTAGCTGGGTGTGGCAGCAGGCGCCTGTAGTCCCAGCTACTCAGGAGGCTGAGGCAGGAGAATCGCGTGAACGTGTGAGTCGGGGCTTGCACTGAACTGAGATCGCACCACTGCACTCCAGCCTGGGCAACAGAGTGAGACTCCGTCTCAAAAACAAAAAAAAGGAAAAAAAAAAAAAACCTGTGCTTTCTTCCTCTAGCTGTGGCATCTAATCCAGGAATCTACGCCATGGGTGGCTAAGCACAGTTCATTTTAACTCATTAAAATGAAATCAGGCCAGGCGCAGTGGCTCACGCCAGTAATCCCAGCACTTTGGGAGGCCGAGTGGGCAGATCATTTGCGGCCAGGAGTTGAGAACAGCCTGGCCAACATGGTGAAACCCCATCTCTACTAAAAATACCAAAATTAGCCAGGTGTGGTGGTGGGCACCTGTAATCCCAGCTACTTGGGAGGCTGAGGCAGGAGAATCGCTTGAACCCAGGAGACGAAGGTTGCTGTGAGCCAAGATTGTGCCCAGTCTGAGCAACAGAGTGAGACTTTGTCTCAAAAAAAAAAAAAATTTAAAATTAGAAAATGAGGCTGGGCGCAGTGGCTCACACCAGTAATCCCAGCACTTTGGGAGGCCGAGGCGGGAGGATCACCTGAGGTCAGGAGTTTGAGACCAGCCTGACCAACATGGAGAAACCCCATCTGTACTAAAAATACAAAAATTAGTGGGGCGTGGTGGTGCATGACTGTAATCCCAGCTACTCGGGAGGCTGAGGCAGGAGAATCGCTTGAACCTAGGAGGTGAAGGTTGTAGTGAGCTGAGATCGCACCATTGCATTCCAGCCTGGGCAACAAGAACAAAAGTCCGTCTCAAAAAGAAAGAAAGAAAGAAAACTAGTAAATATTCAGCTCTCAAGTCCCACTAGCCACATTCCAAGTGCTTCTCAGCCATCTCAATGAATGAAGAACATTTTCATCACCACAGATGTTGCCCCAGACATCACTGGGCTAGGCGGGAGGCCAGCGAGCATTTGTCTATAATGAAATGTGTATTTCTTTTTAATTTAATTTTATGTATTATTATTTTTTTGAGACAGGGTCTTGTTCTGTCACCCAGGCTGTAGTGCAGTGGCGCAATCACGGCTCCCTATAGCCTTGACCTACTGGGCTCAAGTGCTTTTCCTACCTCAGGCTCCTAAGTAGCTGGGACCACAGGCGAGTGCCACCATGCCTAGCTAATTTTTACATTTTTTGTAGAGATGGGACTTCACTATGTTACCCAAGCTGGTCTCAAACTCCCAGGCTCAAATAATTCTCTTGTCTCAGCCTCCCAAAGTGTTGGGATTACAGGTCTGAGCCACCACATCCAATCAGATTTTTCTTTTCCTTTTCTTTCTTTTTTTTGAGATGGAGTCTCGCTCTGTCGCCCAGGTTGGAGTGCAGCGATCTCAGCTTACTGCAAGCTCCGCCTCCCAGGTTCACACCATTCTCCTGCCTCAGTCTCCCAAGTAGCTGGGACTACAGGTGCCCGCCACCATGCCTGTCTAATTTTTTTGCATTTTTAGTAGAGATATGGGTTTCACCGTGTTAGCCAGGATGGTTTTGATCTCCTGACCTCGTGATCCACCCGCCTCGGCTTCCCAAAGTGCTGGGATTACAGGTGTGAGCCACTGCGCCAGGTGTTTTTACTTTCCTTTTTTTTTTTTTTTTTTTTAACACCCCGATTATCAGTAGTAACGACTGAGATACTTTTTATGACATCTTTATACACTGATACCTCCTTCAAAACATTAGACGTTTCAGTGGCAGATAAGTGAATATGCTGTGTTGCATAGACATCATTTAGTCATAGCAGGGGAATCTAAAATGTAAGCCCATTGTGAGTCCTCGGGGAGACCCACAGAATCACCAAGGTACCCACCGAGCTCTGGTGGTGACCTCTAGTGCTGGGGCGTGAGACAGTTACCTGCAGGACCGGGGCACTGACCAGGCCTGTCCTCCCGTTTCAGCGCCGTGAAGAACCTGGTGGACAGCAGCGTCTACTTCCGCAGCGTGGAGGGTCTGCTCAAACAGGCCATCAGCATCCGGGACCATATGAATGCCAGTGCGCAGGGTCACAGGTAGCTCCTGGGACCGCCCGCCCCCACTGCCACTCTCAGCCGCAAGGACTGTCTCAGCTGCGCTGGGAACCACTGCTTCTCGCTTATTAGAAAACTTTCTCTTTCCTCTTGTCCTGGTGTCTGGTGACCTCCTCTTGTCCTGTGGCATCTATAACCTGAGTTCAGTCACTTAATACCCAGGTCCTGAGCTCTGCTGTGTGCCTGGCCCTGGGCTGGGTGCTGGGGACATAGCAGTGACCAAGACAGACAGGCTCACAAGGAGACATACGACAACCAGGTAAACATGGCAGACAAGAGCATGTCAGATGTGCTGTGAAGAACTCCACGGGGCCCCTCCTGGGAGGTGGCGTGAGTGACATGCAGACAGAGACGATCTGGGGGCAGATGGAGTTCCACGCAGGGCAGTGGTGAGGGCAGATGCTCTGGGGCTGGGTTCCCTGGGAGTGTTCGAGAAGCACCAAGAAGGCTTCTATGGCTGGAGCGGGCCAGCTGGGGGGAGATGGGGCCAGGGAGATGGCAGGGGCCTCTCCCTGTCCCATGACCCAGAGCCAAGGGAGGCTTCAAGCCGAGGACCAGCGGTCTGAAAACAAAAAGCACTCACAGTGCTTGAACATTGGAAATAGAGTTTTTGAAGAGTAGCTCTTCTTTTTGTTTTTTCTTCCCATTATAACTTAATAAATACGCTTATAAACACACACTCATGTGCCGGGGGCAGGAACATCGCCTTGGGATGTGTCTGGCTTCCACAGATTAGGGTTCTGGCAGGCCTGTCCCCTGCTATGCAAAAGAAAGCATCTGTGTTGCTTAACTAAAACAACGAGAATTGCAGAAAGAACACTTGAGTGTATGTGTAAGAATGGGAGTGTAGCAATCTTCCCTCAAAGGGTAGCATGAAGGGTTTATCTGGGCTCTCTTGCATCTGAAGAGGAGCGGTATTGGGCTTTTCTGTCATGGGTTGGTGTTGGCAGTTGGAACTAGACTTCACTGAAAAGGCATAGCTCTTTTTTTTTTTTTTTTTGAGACGGAGTCTCGCTCTGTCGCCCAGGCTGGAGTGCAGTGGCCGGATCTCAGCTCACTGCAAGCTCTGCCTCCTGGGTTCACGCCATTCTCCTGCCTCAGCCTCCCGAGTAGCTGGGACTACAGGCACCCACCACCTCGCCCGGCTAGTTTTTTGTACTTTTTAGTAGAGACGGGGTTTCACCATGTTAGCCAGGATGGGCTCGATCTCCTGACCTCGTGATCCGCCCGTCTCGGCCTCCCAAAGTGCTGGGATTACAGGCGTGAGCCACCGCGCCCAGCCAAAGGCATAGCTCTTACTATCAACTCAGGGTTTCCAAAAATGCTTTTATATGCCCTGTTTGTGCCTGCTGTTTCAAAAACGCAACATGCCCCTGAAAGACATTAGTAGCAGCTTGAGTTGCTGCTAACACCTCTCTGTAAGCCCTATGGGTTTGAAGTGCCCAGTCCTATGTGAATGAGTCCCAGATGTGGCCTCTGGAGTGCCTCGTCCCACTTTTAAAAACATACGTATATATTTTAAATAGAAACGTGGTCATGATACCTTCCCCGGGCTGGTCTCAAACTCCTGGGCTCAAGCAATCCTCTTGCCCTAGCCTCCCAAAGTGCTGGGATTACAGGCTTGACCCACTGGGCCCGGCCATTTGTCACTTTTTTTTGGAGACAGAATCTCACTTTGTCGCCCACGCGGGAGTGCACTGGCAAGATCTTAGCTCACTCCAGCCTCCCGCTCTGGGTTCCAAGTGGTTCTCCTGCCTCAGCCTCCCGAGTAGCTGGGATTACAGGCGCACGCCGCCACGCCTGGCTAATTTTTGTATTTTTACTAGAGATGGGGTTTCGCCGTGTTGGCCAGGCTGGTCTGGAACTCCTGACCTCAGGTGATCCACCCTCCTCAGCCTCCCAAAGCGCTGGAATTACAGGCATGAGCCACAGCACCTGGGCCACTCGCCCTACTTTTAAGGAGGATGCCCCAGAAGCTCAAGCCAAAGGTCTTCCGAGACCAGAGTGTCACCCAAACATGCACTCCAGCTAGCTGAGCAAGCCTTGTGGCCTCTGACCTTGGCCTCATGGATGCTGCACGTGTTTTGTTCCAGCCCGGAGGAACCACCCCCGCCCTCCTCAGCCTGATCCTGGAAGAGACTCAGGGCACCCCAGCCTCCACCAACCCAGGTCAGTGCCGAGGGTAGCCACAAGCCTCTCTCTGCTCTGAACTAACCAACCCACCCGCTTGGCAGTCAGCCAGGCACCTACTTGTCTAACCACTTGGGGTTTCTCACTGGGCTTGTGGGATGGTTTCAGAGGTGGCAGGTGGAGGGGTGTCTGCGGATCCAGAATGTTCCACCCTGCTGCTCAGGGACCATGTCAGCCCATCTTTCCCACTCTCTCTCTGCCACCTTCCTCTCTCTTTTTCAGGCCATAGGCCCTATGCTAGTCCCAGAGATTTCTACCCCCCAAGACAGAGAGGGGAGCCCACATTTCCTCTATCCTACCACATGCCAGCAGCCTGCTTTACCCATGCACAGTCTCTCAGGCAGAGCCCAGCATGGGCAATTACCCACCTATCTCTGGGACCTCCCCACCAATCCACTGCCTAACTGCTGTGTGACCGAGCAAATTAATCCCCCTCTCTGGTCTCTGCATTTCCTTTCTGTAAAGGTGGCTCATCAGGTGACTGAGAGGGGGCAGGGCATAGTGACGGATGTGCTTTGGAGCAGTCAGCTATTGCTACATAACACAGCATCCAAAAACTTAGTGGTTTACAGCCCCAGTAATTAATCTACTCACTATTCTGCACTTTGGGCTGGGCTCAGCTAGGCGGTTCTGCTGCTCTCTCTGGGGCTCGCCCATGCGGTGCTCATGGGAGCTCAGCTGCAGCTGCATAGTCGGGGGCCCTTGACCAGGACTGCTGGCAGCAGGCATCAGGTTTTCCTCGTGGCCTCCCCATCAGGCCAGCCTGGGTTTCTCCTGGTGGCTGGGAGCCAGGAGAGTAGCTTCCATGCAGAGTGCCGGTTTCACATTTGTGGGTGGCCCATCTGTTGAGGCCAGTCACGTGACCAGGCCCAGGATCAGATGGGAGAGGACCATACAAGTGCAGCGGGAGCTATGGGAGGCATGGCTGACCACGCTTAGAAAGTGTGGTGCCAGGAAAGATCTGATGTGTCACCATTCTATATCTGTGATGGGCAGACGCAGGCAGGTTGAAGGGGCCCCGGGGACTTACCAAGCCTCTGCCTGTTGGCCAGGCACTGTGATTGTCCTTGGTGCCATGGAAGCCCTCTCAGAGGTCGAGAGGAGGCAGGTGGAGACAAAGCCTCTGTACACCTTTCAAGCTGTAGCCCCAGAGCCCAGAGGCAGCTGAATTCATGTGTCCAGTCAGAGAGCACTTAGTGGGCACTGCAGTCAATCAGAGAGCACTTAATGGACACCACAGGCAGCATGCATTTATTGAGTACCTCTGGCAGTTGATGCACACTTCCTGAGCACCTGTTCATAGCAGGCTTAGCTCTGGGTGTGGGGTGGTGAGGAATCCCACAGGCTGAGGGGTGGCCTGGGAGCTTTCTGGGGGGCCTGAAGCAGGAGGGGCTGCCTGAGGGGGTCAACAGCCTACTGCCCTAAGCAGCCCTACCCATACCCCCAACCTAGCCTCTGTCTCCCCAGTCCCATCCCCCACACCCTGGTCACTCCTACTTTGTGCCTCAAGGTCACTGTCCGTCTGCCCTCCTCACTCCCCAGCGTCTGCTGTCCCCTCCGCTGCTGCTCCCCGGCAGGATTGCTCTGTGTCTCATCCACCTTTGTCCCTGTGGAGTCCCTCTCCTCTCCCCAGAACCACCAGTTCCATGCCCCATCTCAGAGCCTTTCTTTTTTTCTTTCTTTCTTTCTTTTTTTTTTTTTTCTTTGAGATGGAGTCTTGCTCTGGTCACCCAGGCTGGAGGGCAGTGGCACGATCTTGGCTCACTGTAACTCTGCCTCTCAGGTTCAAGCGATTCTCCCACTTCAGCCTCCCGAGTAGCTGGGACTATAGGTTCCTGCCACCTCACCCGACGAGTTTTTGTATTTTTAGTAGAGACGGAATTTCACCATGTTGGTGAGGCAGGTCTTGAATTCCTGACTTCAGGTGATCTGCCCGCCTTGGCCTCCCAAAGTCCTAGGATTACAGGCATGAGCCACTGCACCTGGCCTCAGAGCCTTTCATTCCCACTTTTCCCCCAAAACTGCACCCCTTGGGGTCATCAGTGACCTTCACAGGGTCAAGTTATCCCCCTCCTCTCCAGTCCCAGGACCTTAAGCACTGCCCCGTTTTACAGAAGAGGAAAGCAAGGCCCCGAGAGGTAAGGCAGCCAGCCCAGGGTCATCGCCCATGCCCAGAAATGCCAGGATTCCCACCCAGACCTCTGACCACCAAGCTCCACCTTAGCCTGGCCCAGGTTCATCCCTCAGGTGCCGCCTCATGCCTTGAGTCTGCCTCTCTGACCACCCTGACCCTCGTCCCCGCTCGCCAGCCTGACCGAAGCTGGGCCAAGCAGAGACCGAAGACTGAATGAGTGCGGCCAGCACCCTCCTCCTGCGCCTGCCCCGAGCCTCCAGGCCCAGCCGTCAATGTTCCCAGAAGTGGCTTACTGCTCCTGGACTCTTACTGGCCCCCCATCGACCCTTGGACCAATAACTGCCATCAAAATAATCCTGATTGGCCGGGCACGGTGGCTCAAGCCTGTAATCCCAGCACTTTGGGAAGCCGAGACGGGCGGATCACGAGGTCAGGAGATTGAGACCATCCTGGCTGACACGGTGAAACCCTGTCTCTACTAAAAAATAAAAAAACTAGCCGGGCGAGGTGGCGGGCGCCTGTAGTCCCAGCTACTCAGGAGGCTGAGGCAGGAGAATGGCGTGAACCCGGGAGGCGGAGCTTGCAATGAGCTGAGATCCGGCCACTGCACTCCAGCCTGGGCGGTAGAGCGAGACTCTGTCTCAAAAAAAAAAAAAAAAAAAAATCCTGATTATGCACCTACCAAGTCCCTGGCCCTGGGCTAAAGTCTTCACAGGGGTCATCTCATTTTATCCTCAGACAGCCCCCAAAAGCAGGTCTCACCCCCAAATACAGATGGACAAAGAGAGGCTCTGCCGGGCATGGTGGTGGGCACCTGTAATCCCAGCTACTCAGGAGGTTGAGGCATGAGAATCACTTGAACCCAGGAGGCAGAGGTTCCAGTGAGCCAAGATGGCGCCACTGCACTCCAGCCTGGGTGACAGAGCAAGACTTTGCACCCCCCGACCCCCGACCACCACACACACACACAAAAGGCACAGTCAGAGAAGAGCAGACCGCAGCCTGGTTTGGTCCCAGCCCTGCCCGCCTCTGATGTGCTGTGTGACATAGGCCTGGCGCTGGCCCTCTCTGGGCCTCCCTCCCTCCCTTCCTTTCTTTCTTTTCTTTCTTCCACCTGGTGCTGGCCCTCTCTGAGTGCTCTCCCCTCCCCTCCTCTCTTCTTCTTTTCCAGGATCTGGCTGTCACCCAGGCTGGAGTGCAGTGGCATGATCTCAGCTCACTGCAACCTCTGCCTCCTGGGCTCAAGTGATCCTCCTGTCTCAGCCTCCCAAGTAGCTGGGACTACAGGCACACACCATCACCCCCAGCTAATTTTTCGTAGTTTTTGTAGAGATGGGGTTTCACCATGTTGGCTAGGCTGGTCTCAAACTCCTGAGCTCGTGATCCTCCCACCTCAACCTCTCAAAGTGCTGGGATTATAGGCGTGAGCCACCGCACCCAGCCTTGGTTCTCCCTTTCTTCATCTGGATAAGGAAGGCTGGACTGTACCTTCTCTACAGGCTAAGCTGGACACTCGCATATCTGCCCTCCCAACCTGCATTCTGCCTCAAGCAGCGATGCCCACCCCAGGTTCAGGCCACATGGAGAGGCCACCCCTAGTTCCAGGGGTGGATGTTGCACCTCGGCCTGGCCAATCAGAGCTGCTGTGTCCTAGGTTCCCAGTGATTGGTTTGAGATGGACACGTGACCCAATGAGAGGCCTTCCTGGGAGTTCTACCGGGAGCATCAGGAAGGTTGAGCTGGGTGGATGGGAACGGGGCAGGGACGAGGGGGTTCCAGGGGGGACCTGAGAACATTGCCTGGGGCTGTGGATCCAACTGTACCTGACATTAGCCAATTTCATTTCTTCGGTTTCATGGACACCTGAATTATGATTTTTGCCAAAATGGCTTTGAGTCCGTTTCTGCTGCTGTTTGCAGAAGGGCCTGCGCTGACCTCTGTGAATGCCAAGCCTGGGTGACCAGGCCTCCACAAGTTATGCATCTCCAAGGCCAGCTGTGTTACCCCAGAATCCCTTGTTCCAGTACAATGTATTAGGGAGGTCAGATAGAGTTGTTTGGGGTTGAGGCAGGTTCCAGTCCCACTACTCTGGGAGGGTCCCTCATCTTGGCACTGTGGGGTGGTTGATGGAGACGGGTGGGAAGAGCAGGGGTGCCCCGAGGGAAGACAGAGGGCATCCTACTGGGACATCGGGCCTGTCAAGGTGTCTGAAGGCCTGGAAAGAGGGTTCAGCCCTACCTCTCCTCCTCCTAGGGCACACTGGGGGGCCTCTGCCATTATACCACCTCTCCACTGTCCCACTCAGCTTAGGAGTGAGGAGCCGCCTAAAGCCACCCCATTTAGGGCCCTGATTGGTGTGTGGCCTCCAGAGTCCTTCTCCCTTCTTACTTGCTCTGAAGGCATCTCTCAATGTCCATCTGTCCTCCATGCCACCATTTATCCAGCAAACACTGATGGGTATTTGTGAGCTAGACAGTCCAGCACTGTCTTGCTCAGACCTTCAGGAGAAACTGGCAGCAGAATGGAATTATCGCCTGCCTCCCAGGACCTGCCTAGGAAGACTGGGGCACTAGGAGCTGGGGGTAAGGGAGGCAGGTGTGGGGGACCCCACCAGACCCTTCTAGGGCGCTGAGTCACTCAACCTCTGGATGTGACCTCAACCAGCGACTAACAGTCATCTCTCTTTTTTTTTTTTTTTTTGAGATGGAGTCTCACTCTGTCTCCCAGGCTGGAGTGCAGTGGCGCAATCTCAGCTCACTATAACCTCTGCCGCCCGGGTTCAAGCCATTCTCCTACCTCAGCCTCCCATTGTCCTACCTCAGCCTCCCAAGTAGCTGGGATTATAGGCACCTGCCACTGCACCCGGCTCATTTTTGTAGTTTTAGTAGAGACGGGGTTTCACCATCTTGGCAAGCCTGGTCTTGAACTCCTGACCTCGTTTTCCAAAGTGCTGGGATTACAGGTGTGAGCCACCGCGTCCGGCCCAGTCATCTCTCTTAAAAGGAGTCTAGGCTGGGTGCAGTGGCGCTCGCTTGTAATCCCAGCACTTTGGGAAGTCAAGACTGGAGGAACCCCTGAGTTCAGGAGTTAGAGACCAGCCTGGGCAACATGGAGAGACCCTGTCTCTCTCTCTAAAAAAAAGAAAAAAAAAAAAAAAAAGCCGAGCATGGTGGCTCACGCCTGTAATCCCAGCTTTTTGGGAGTCTGAGGCGGGCAGATCACCTGAGGTCAGGAGTTCAAGACCAGCCTGACCAATATGGTGAAACCCTATCTCTACCAAAAATATAAAAAATTAGCCGGGTGTGGCGGTGCGCACCTGTAATCCCAGTTACTTGGGAAACTGAGGCAGGAGAATCGCTTGAACCCGGGAGGCGGAGGTTGCAGTGAACGGAACCGAGATGGAGCCACTGCACTCCAGCCTGGGTGACAGAGTGAGACTCTGTCTCAAAAAATAATAAATAAATAAAAGGGGTCTGATCAGGACTCTGGGTTTTCAGACACCTCGTAACCCCAAGTCCCAGGGTTTGTGGGGGCGCTGGTTAATTCGCATCTCATTTGAATGCTCCGTAGTCCTTTTTGCCTGGAGGGCGCCCCCGCCCCCTCTAGCCGCCAGGGGGCGCAAGAGGCAAAGCGTTGGCGAGAAGCTCGGCCTCCAAGCGGTCATTGTCTGCAGTCCTGGCTGGCCCCGGTGGGCACACTGTGACCCTCCACCCTTTTTCACTCTATATGCTGTCGCTCCCATTTTTCAGAGAGCAAACAGGTTCTGAGAGGCCAGAGGGCTCTGAGAATAAGAGCTCGCAGCCTCCGTTGTCAGGGTGGAGGGCAAGGGGGCTCCTAGAGCTCCCTCAATAGCATTTACTGGCCAGGCGCTGTGGCTCACACCTGTAATCCCAGCGCTTTTGGGAAGCCGAGGTGGGCGGATCACTTGACGTCAGGAGTTGGAGACCAGCCTGGCCAACATGGTGAAACCTCGTCTCTACTGAAAATATAAAAATTAGCTGGGTGTGGTGCCCACCTGTAATCCCACTTACTCTGGAGGCTGAGGCAGGAGAATCGCTTGAGCCCCGGAGGTTGCAGTGAGCCGAGGTCACGCCACTGCACTCCAGCCTGGGCGACAGAGGTAGACTCCATTTCAAAAACAACCAGCTGGGCACAGTGGGTCACACCTGTAATCCCAGCACTTTGGGAGCCCAAGGCGGGTGGATCACGAGGTCAGGTGATCAAGACCATTCTGGTCAACATGGTGAAACCCTATCTCTACTAAAAATACAAAAATTAGCTGGGTGTGGTGGTGCACACCTGTAATCCTAGCTACTTGGTAGGTTGAGGCAGGAGAATGGCTTGAGGTTGTGCCACTGCACTCCAGCCTGGCTACAGAGCAAGACTCTGTCTCAAAAAAAAAAAAAAGCATTTACTTCCGGCAGAACTCCAGAGATGGGTGGGCAGCTAGAAGAGACAGCTTTCTGTGCCATGGGGCATCCAAACAAGAGCGTAGCGCTCCCGAGGCTGGAGATCACCAAGAAAGGATCCCAACCCTGATCTGCAGATGGGGTAAAAGGAGACCCATAGAGGGCAGCGACCTGCCCCCTGCTTCATCCACAGTGGTCAGGACAAGAATCAGACTTCTGCTGGGTTTTTGTCCTTAGCCCTTGGTCTGAGTCCTTGTTTTTATTTCAGACCTGCTCTGGGTTCCTGGAGAGTCCTGCACACTCAGGACCCTGGAAAGCCTTTTTTTTTTTTTTAAAGCCCTATTGTATCCCTGAACAAGGCTTCTGGATGCCCCAGGCTTATCCCCCACTCCCTTTCACTGCTTAGACCTTCTTTGAGATTCTTTAGTTCTTCAAGAAACCCATGGAGACTGTGCGCAATGGCTCACACCCGTAATCCCAGCGCTTTTGGAGGCCAAGGCAGGAGGATCGCTTGAGCCCAGGAGTTCGAGAGCAGCCTGGGCAGCAAGTGAGACACCCGGTGCACCTCAAAAAATATTAAAAAATCAGCCAGGTGTGGTGGTGCGTTCCTGTGGTCCCAGCTACTTGGGAGGTGGAATCGAGAGGATCACTTGAGCCCAGGAGTTCAAGGCTGCAGTGAGCCATGATTGCACCACTGCACTCCAGCCTGGGCAGCAGAGCAACTCTGTCTCTAAAAAACAAAAAGAAAAACCCATGGAGGCACCCCTTTGGTGCCACCATGTACTGGGCTCGGGCCTAAGGAACCCCCAGGCTGGGGGAGACAGAACCAGCCACACACTCCACCCCGCCCTCTGGATCAGTGCTAAGCTGGAAGCAAGGATGGGGAGGTGGAAGGATCCTAAATGGTAAGAGGATAGGAAGGCTTTTGGAGGAGGGAACATAGTAGGTGGACCTTGAGGGCTCCTCTTGGCTCACTGCAACCTCCACCTCCCGGGTTCTAGCGATTCTCCTGCCTCAGCCTCCTGAGTAGCTGGAATTACAGGCATGTGCCACCATGCCTGGCTAATTTTTGTATTTTTATGAGAGATGCGGTTTTGCCATGTTGGCCAGGTCCATCTCGAACTCCTGGCCTGAAGTGATCCACCCACCTTGGCCTCCCAAAATACTGGGATTATAGGCATGAGCCACCACGCCCAGCCTATCCGCACTTGTCACATGAGTAAGGAGGCCCCAAGGGGTGCAGTGACCATCCTGAGGTCACACAGTGAGTGGGCGGCACAGTGTTGGGGGACTCGGTGTTCTTTAACCTTGGGGGCCCTCCCTACCCACTGGGCCATACGTCCTTGCCACGGAAGGTCCTTCAAAGCCTTCCCCTGGGAGAGGGGGGAGAATCTGGAGGAGGGAGAGTGGGGACAGCTTCTTCACCTCCCCAAGCCTCCCACCCCAGCCTTCTCCGCCATTCCCCACCCACCGCCTCCCCCATCTCCCAGACCCCCTTCCCAGGTCACCCTTCTCCCTCGCCACCCACTCTGGCCCCTTCTATCCTTTCCTCCTCACAACCTTCCCCTCTACTCTCCAGCTCTTACCCTAGCAGCTAAGGGTGTCCCTTCATCTGAGAAGAATGAGGTTAAGACTCTTGGGGGCCCTGCTAGGGGACACAATTAGTGGTTGGGGACGGTATAGGATAGGAACAGAGGCAAAAGGACAGGGGACAGACTATGAATAACAAGATGGTGCCCACCAGAAGAAGGGGGCTGGGAAGTCGGGGTGCATGAGGGCCAGCCCCAGCCAGCTTCGCTCTGCCGGGCTAGCCCTTCCCCCAGAGCTGGCCCAGCTGCCGGCCTCACGTAACCAGAGCCTGCCTGTTGCATCAGAGGCGGGCAGGCGGCCTCGGGTAAACAGAGCAGCCCTCCGGGGGCCCAGGGCTCCCCAGCCACCGCCACACTCCCCAAGCCTTGTTCTGCACCATGGAGTGGAGGCAGAAGCCCCCAGCCTGGCCCAGGCCCTGGTGTGTCCTTAGGACACCTGAGTGTGTGGCACTGGGCACTGGATGGGGACAGGAAGGACCCCCTGATAACACAGTGTGAACTCTATAGTTTTTATGTCCAAAGAAAAGTTGTGCTCAGACTAGAGGCCCACACTGCCCATGTCACAGATGGGTAAACTGAGGGGTGGGGAGAGACACGAGCCTCCCAGGCGCCCTGTTCCCTGTCTCAGTGTCCCCCACACTCCAGCATCTGCCACATGCCTCCCCCTGAGTTTGGGGGACCAGTCCCTCTCTTCTCTGGAGGAGATGGACACCAGGCAGCTTTGCAGCCCCCCTGCTCTCCACCTGTATCTGCCCCTCCTCTTCACCCCCGCCCCCTGTTCTGGCTTCACCTTCCTCATCTCCCCCGGCCAGAGAATGTTCTGTGCTCTTCTTCCTCTGCACTTTTGCAAGTGCTTTTCCCTCTTGAAAGAGCCTTTCTCAGGTCTGGTG